AAGAAATATAATTAAAACAATTATTATTTCTACGTATATATTTTTTATTTTTTTAATTACTCGTTACCTTTTTTTTTTTTAAGGATATTATACAAATAATATTCATGTGTGCTATTTTTGATTATAATAATTTTAAAAAGAATTTGTTAATGTTTGTTCAATACTCCATTACCGTCTCGCTTTTTTTTTCCTTTTTTTTTTTTTATATAGACGAATAAAAAATTCTAATTAAATTTCTAACACTCTAATGCATATTATTAATATTATTATTATTGTTTATTGTCATATTATTATCAATGTAATATTAAATTTAGATTTTTATGTGAATTTGCAAACATTTATATATATATATATTTTTTTTTTTTGTAATAATAATAATAATTATAACAACACAACATACGATAATATTAAGTATATTAATTGATAATATACTTGTGTATATGTATAAGCAAAGAAAATTCGTGTTATAATAACATATATAGAAAATATTGATTGTTTGTTACATTGTCACAACCCTGCATTTTCCATTTGTATCTCGTTTTTCTCCAACTTTACAAGGAATTGGTGGTGGATTTATGATAGCTGATTTGTCTGGATGACTCATGTCAATCCTTGGTATTGGTGGTGCTGCATCACTATCCTTAGATTTTCCTAATGTTGCATTTATAAGCATGATTGCTATTAAACTGGCTAGCAAGAGTTTCATTATCTTAAAAGGAAAAAAAAAAGAGGAAAAACAAAATATATAAAAAAGATTACACCACCTTCATATTCGTTTCTATTCATTTTGATTATTATTATTATTATTATTATTATTATTATTAAAAATATTATCTTACGAAAATTTCTAATACTTGCGAAAAATTAAGTTTCCGAATTTTTATTGATCAATAAAAAAACGGTAAATCGTTTTATTGGCATACCTTTTTAATTTTTCACTTTGTTTGTTTGTTTGTTTTTTCTCTAAATGGTATTTCTTTGTTCAGCGTTGAACAACGACGGGATTTCGATCGATTTTAATCGATTGCAATAATTTATTATTAAACAGTGATGTCGAATCACGCGTGTTAAGCGTTTCAACAGACAAATAATTGAAAAATATTTCTACACATTGAAGAACAATTCGTGATCGATCCGTTATTTATACTCTTTCTTGTTTTTTTTTTTATTTCCAAAGGTCACGTGACATCTAATAATAATAAAATTCGCGATATTGAAATAAAAGAAGTAATCGTTAATTTAACAATAAAATATTATCGCAATATCATAAACAACTCAACCTGCGATATAAAATAAATAATAAATTAGATTTGTGATTTTAATCGTCTAACGCGAGCACACACCAACGTTTGTTGAGTTTTATCAATTCGAATTATTAACGTTTGTTAATCAAGTGTAACACACTTCGAACGAAATTAATAATCGTATACATTTTCTTCGTATTTATTCCAAGGATTAACAATTTTATTACGATTTGTTCTTTTTGTTAATTAAAAAAAAAAAAAAGAAAAAAAAAGATTCCTACTATAAAGAAATATAAACAAAATTTGCTTCCAAAAAATTATAATATTTCTCGCAATATATATATATAACCTATTTTGCATAAAAATTGATATCGAATAATAATAAAAACACAAAAAGAAAAAAAAAAAAAGAAAAAAGAATAAAATATGTCAGGTTTATTTCAAACGTGAATTAATAGAATCGAACGCGTATTATTTTATGCTAATGATAGTATCGTAACGTAGTATGTTAACCGGTTTCGTTCGAATAAATATACTTATTCCTTTTTTTTTTTTTTTTTTTACATTGAACTTCTATATATAATATTTTTCCCATCTCTTGTATACCAATAAATGTTAGGTATACTAATTATCTTAAGAATGATTTTTTAATATATGGAAATATATATATATGTGTGTGTGTTTTGTGTGTTGCAACGTCACGTTTTCCAAGTTTATAAATACGATCACGGTCGAGAGGAGAAGATCAAAACGATTACGTATTTCACGATCTCAACAACTTCGAACAATTTGTTTTCGTTATTTTTATTGAAAAATAAAAGAAAAGAAAAAAGAAAACGATAAGAAAAATAATCCAAATTTTTAAATTACATCTTACAATTAGTTAAACGTAAGTAACAGAGTGCGATTTGGTGCGAAATAAAAATAAAAAAAAAAAAGTGATGGATCATTCAGTGTGCTTGAGATATTATATTATATTTGATATAAATTATTCGTAGTGTTTATTTTTTGTTTTTTTTTTTTTTCAGATAATAAATAAAAACAAAAGAGAAAACACACACGAGTGGATAAGTATCTTAATAGATCGAATTTTTATAAGAAAGAAAAAAAAGAATATTCAACATGCGTTTCTTATTAAATATTAATACGTTCTTGATTTGCATCATTATTTGCGTAATAACTATTGCAGCAATGCCTGCTAATAATAAACAAGAAGATCTAATACGTACAACACCGAGACCTAATATAATTGTTAGTCCACCAAGATTGTGTCCACCTGGACAAAAATCTGACTCATTTGGTATATGTCGAGAAGTTGCATAATTATTGGATCTATTTCTTAACCATGGATGTGTATTTTATTTTATATTTTTCTAATTTGATATATATATACTAACCCCTATCGAAATATTAAACGTATTATCATAAGTTTTAGATTTTTAATGTAAATTTCGGTGTGTGCATTAATTAATTTTAGCATGTCTTACAATTATAAATATATTATTTTTAAATTTAATTAATTTTATTATTAATTAAGTTATTTTATTCTTAATTTAATGAAATATATTTTTCAATAACCAAATAAATGTTAAAATATTAATTACATTTCAGTGTGTGTAATGGGTTTTAATTTATTTATTACTTTTTATAGATTTTTCTTTTTTACACATTCGTAATATTATATTATATTATTTAATATAAATGCAATTCATTTACCTAATCGATATTACATTATCTACGTGAGTTTTATTAAAATAAAAAAAAAGCACATAATAGTGATACGTTAGTTTTATATTACGGTTCTGCATATGCCATTTCCATCTCGCTTTTGTCCTTCACCACAGCTTATATCTTTCACATTGATCAATGAACGTAAAGGTGTAAGAGATTCAGGTGGTAGGGGGGTCACAGGAGCCTCATTTTCATTAAATGAATAAAGTGTACGTTGTCTTGGATGAAGTAATACATAACTTAGTGGTAATGGTGGTTTTGGTGGTATTGGTGTTAATAATGGTGGTTCTGGTGATGACGTTTCATCGCAATTAATCAATACCACATTGATTAGAAAAATTGCGAATAAGATGACCAACGAAGTTTTCATCCTAATTAAAAGAAAATATTTTATCAAGAAAGAATTAATAAATAAATAAATAATTCTACACGCAAGATATTATATAATTAATTTCAATAATATATTTTTTTAATTTTAATATAAAGAAAAACACAATGTGAAATATAAAATAGTATAATTATTCCTGCATTTTTATGCAATTTTTGTTTCAGTTTGTAATAAATAACAATAGAAATTTGATATATAATAATCACGTATTGAAAATTGAATTTCAATTGAATTTCGTGATATTATTTTTAGAAATTAAAAAATTATAGTATATTCGAACGATTGTGAATATTATTAACAAAATAATTAGATTATTTTACCTTTCAATTAAAGCTTGTAATATTTTTCTCACAAAATCAAATGATTAACGAATCAATGATAAAAGATTGACTGATGCCAAACAATACGTGACAACGAGTATAAAAATATTAAACTACACTGAAGACAAAATCATGATCGATCTTTTATTTATAATCTTCGAAAGAAGTTACGAACACGTGATTATATTAAACTTTCTTTTAAGTACCGTAATTACGGTAATTTACAGAATCAACATTTAAATGTAAATTTACATTACAATGCAACATTATTGTTGAATCATAGATGTGTGAAATATGATCGTACAAAGTTGAATATAATTATTATATTCGTCATTTAAATTATTTGAGTATATTAATTTTAATGTATCTTTCTTTATGTAACAAGAAAAAAAAATTCCTGTTAACATAATTCAACAAAGATTAATAAGTATTTCTATTCCCTCAATTTTTTTATAATTATTTGTTTTATTCAAACGATTCGTATAAAAAGATAATAAATAAATTTAGATAAAATATAATCTTGCAATATTACGAAAGACGTTTCTATCAAGCTTTGCATATTAATTAATATCGAATAATATTCGAACAGATAAAAAAAGTTAAAATGTTTTTAATTAAAATTTTTTTCTCAACGTTGAAATGATACAAAGTTAAACCTATCATACGTGATAATAAATGTAATAATAATTTATGTAATAATGCATCTCTTAAATGCAATTGATTTTCATTCAAGTAAGATATTATTTGATATTAAACTTCTCGTTGTATAGTTTTGTTCCTATTTCCCCATAAAAACCTTACTATACTATCCTAGAATGATTTTCAATATATGGAAAATACTTGTCGTAGCGTTACGTTATTCATAATTCATAAATACGATCACATGAAGAGAGAAAATCGAAAGAATTATTTCTAAATTTATTTCATAAATATTTCATTGGAAAAAAAGAAAAAAAAAAAAAAAAAAAAAAAAAAAAAAAAAAAAAAAAATTTTTTAATCATCTTAGGATCATTTAACGTAAGTACAGTGATTTGGTGTGTGTGAAGATAAAAAAAAAGTGATTATCATGATATTCCGTAGAATAATCAAGTAATTCAATATGAATTATTTTTCAATCGTACAATTTAATCAATCATATATCTTTTTCTTTTTTTTTTTTTAAGATAATGAACAAATAACGTAAATCCTGGATCCTACTTTCAAGGACAAAGTTATTAAATCACTTCACCCGTACAATTTTTAATAATCCTGCAAAAGTTCCCCTACCGATAAAACAAAATCATTGATATTTTAATACGTATGTGTGTATTCTTAAATTTATGATGGTGGTGATGGGGTGGGGAAATATTTGTTATAAAAGGATTTGCTCGGTATCAAGAAGATACAAAAGATTAACATTTTCTTTACCGTGAACATTGTGTTTTACGATTGTTCATTAAATATGAATTCTTTCGTTTTTTATTTGATCACATTTTTATTAGCGACATTATTATTATCAACAATTGCTCATCCATTGGATATCGATACCGATAAATTATTAAATTTATCTAAGAATGGAACTGAAGTCAACTTACCTGAAATTAGTTTACCCAAAGAATTAGATCATTTGTTGGGTGGTAAGTTTTTTTTTTAATGTTATGGTAATCCTATAATTAAATGTATAATACGTAATAGTTTTATTAATGAAACATTTGTTTCTATCCGTTTCCTGTTTCTTCTTTTTTGTTTATCGTTATTAATTTTTGTTCTAATATTACATGCGATGTAATTTACGTATAATTTACATATACTCTCTCTCTCTCTCTCTCTCTTTCTCTCTTTTTCTCTCTCTCTTATAAATATTATATATATATATTTATTAAAATATATTGTGCAGAACCGTGAAGAAAAGTTTTCCTTTTATTAATCATACTCTTATTATTAACATTATCGAAATATGAATTTTGTTTTTCGACAGGTGTCGAAAGAAGAATTGACTAAAATTACAAAATCCCTTCGAAAAATCGATGGAATCTGTTTCTATAATAAATCCACCATCAATATACTGTCCTGATAATCAAAAATGTGACGAATATGGAATCTGCTGTATACACGTATCATCAAAATGAACAATCTAATCATTATTCTATCGAGATAATTATATTCAATTGTAATCATTTTCTCTAATAAAATTGTCTGATTACTTATAATGATATGATTTAACAATAAATTCCAATATTACATGATTTCTTTTTTACATAGAATACAAAATATTATATATATCATACGTGTAACGATTGATTTTATATTATATGAATAAGAATAAAAATTAAATTTTGTATTATGTCAACGTTAACTTTAGTTTCTTCGTTAAACACTGTCGTATCTTAATGACATTGATTTTCAATAACTTAATTAATAAACCATAATTACTCTCTCAGTAATATTGTCAAAGGAGAGTGAACGTTATCAAAACCTTTGACATTTAAGCTTTCGAAATATTTAGATAGAACGTTGTTTACTATCAATTAGGCTATTTGACATGAAAATTAAACCATTCGATCAGAAATTTGAATGATGAAAATAATACAATAATATATACATATACTATATATATATATATATATATATAGTATATGTATATATTATTGTATTATTTTCATCATTCAAATTTCTGATCGAATGGTTTAATTTTCATGTCAA